TGTAATGGTTTTAACTGTTGAAAGAAACTCATGATTTCATTCCCTCTGCAGTTTAATTTGTGAGTTAAAAGTAACAATATGATGGCTTGTGAAGCAAGTATGTAAGATTGTTTATAAATGAAGCATCTGCTGATTAGAGGGTGACTGCTGAAGGTAAACATTATGAATCAGAAATTTGAGGTTATTTTCTTAAAGAAATGAGACTGATACTGAAAATATCAATAAATTGTGTCCAATTAAAGAAGAATTGAGCGTCTTTAAGGCATCATTAAAAGAAGGGGGAGACATGAGACCACCCGTGAAAAATGATTGTTCAATCAAAGCTAATAAAAGTAGAAGGTAGTGAGTTATTTTATATATATCTTTGAGTTATAAAGAAAATTGTTGAACAAAATAAAATGAGTTAGTATACTATTGAATTCTCTTTATCAAGTTAATATGAGTAATTTAAAGCATACCAATCTTAAAATTTCAGAAACCTTTTCAATAAAGCTTGCAACAAAAGATGTGTTCAGATTAAAAACATTTTTGTGCTTTTATGATCTTGCTAGTAGTAATAAAAGTAATCATATATGAAAGAATGTCTGTTGAAAGAGGAATTGATGTATAAAAGTTCTGGTTGGGATTTTTTTTGGAGGGGGATGTTTTTAATCTAATGATTTATATATATTAAAAAATGTTAGTGATAAATTAACACATTGACTAGTAAATTGCATGAGCAAGCCACAATAATTTTATTGGTCTGAAGCAGCGGTTCTCAACCTTTTGAATATTGTGTACCATCTAAACAAAAAGTGAAAAATTTTAATACCACCACTACATTTTACAATGGCTATTTTTCAGTTTCTCAATAGAAATATTAAAAATGTATATATTCTGCCATTTGCACAACGTATTGGCTACGTTAAATGTGCACACATTAAAAAATATTAGATTAAAAATTGGTTACCATTTTAATGATCAAAATTTAAGTTATAATAACTTAGTTCTAAAATTAAGTGTGAAATTTGGGCCTGTTTAAGAGAGATCAATTTCTTTGTCGACTCAGGCCAAACTCGAAGAGTTTGGAAAGATTGGGTACCTGTGCGTCATCGCTAACCCAAAATAACATGACGATTTTCGAATCCATGTGTTGTTCGAAAGTGGGGTAGGAATAACCGTGTAAATACACTGCGAAACGAAAGTTCTTAGTGCGGGGGGGGGAGGATAAGATGAGTACGACTGAAACACCGCCTGCAGCTGCAGGCCGAAGTTGATGGTCCAAGTAGAAACGCATTTTCTCCTCTCCGTCACGTGACTATTTCCCTTCTTCGGCGAAGTCTATGAACCACTGAACGGCTCTAAAACCTGCTTTGAGTTTCTCGGCTGGGGTTTTCGCCTTCTGAATTTTTCCGATCAAGTCGACAATAGTTTCTACAATAGTTTCTAAGAGTTTCTGGATGTTTTCATCCAAAATTCAGGTCATAGCATCATTCATCGCTTTTGAATTTTTTCTGGGGGGGAGTCTTGAATTTTTCACTGTAAGTTGGCTTGGTATTTGACTAAATAGGAACTTCTTCCGTATTTTTAAAAGCAGAAAAATTGGTCTGAGATTTTTCTGGAGCTGGGGGGTTGAAGTTTTCTTATTTTTGAATCTTTCCTTGTATGTTTTGCATCCACGGTAGGACGAGACATGTCCTTCTCCACAAAAAATGCAAATGGGTTTGTCTTCTGGTTTTTTCCAGGCAGGTATTACTTTGATGTGCTTCACCGCACTTCACATACCTTGACTGGTCTTATTTCACTTAATTTTAACCATAAATTAGGATCCAATTTTAAGTTTGTTCTGTATTTCGTTTTCAAATCAAACGTGAAAGAAAATCCTTGTTCACACTAATATGTAGGTTCTGCAAAAATGCGATAAAACCTTAGTAGCTTTATGTAAAACCCCCTTATTTTTTTTTTTTTTTTAATTCAGCCAAAAGTTACAAGTGTGTTATTTTTTAAACCTTCAGTTAGAGTTCGATGACAGGTATTCTCTAGCAATTTTTCTTTTTCTTCATGAGATTTTTGAATTTAATAATTAAAAATACTTTTCTTATTTGCATACCTTCTATTTTTCTCTTGCGTACTACGAGTAGTACACGTACCACTGGTTGAGAATCGCTGGTCTAAAGTATTTCAAAAACATCAATAACTTATGTTTACTTGTGTGACAGATATTAATGCTTTCCATGTTTCAGTTGTGAACATGCAAAGAAAGGTAAACATTGTGTATCACATTATCGAAAAGTAACTTACTTTTTTTACAAAACTGGAATTTTTATTATTTGGTTCATGTATATGTTGATATATTGTTGCGTGCATACGTGTTACTAATAGATTGAATGCACAAGTCCAATAAAAGATTAATAAAATTTATTCTTATCACAGCCAATGTAACAAAGCATTGGAATTATTCTCGGAGTTATTCTCACAATATCACGCGATATAATCAGTAGCTATATTTTAAACTACTAAAACGTCAAATAGAACGCAATCCAAAGTGCAGAGAAAGCTAATACGATCTCAAAATTACAGCAGCTAAGTAAACAACAACTGAACTTAGATGCTTCTCTCTGGCTTTTTAAAGCATTTTAATCAGTCATGAGAATGTTCTCATAATTTCTGTTTTCTCGAGGTTTCTGGAAAGCAAAAGAGTAGAATTACGAGATATCTATTTATTAAATGTTAAATGCATGTGCTCCTGTATTTTTACTTTTCCGGCATAGCTTTCTCTTAAAATAAGTCTTGTGCTGCATTGCACTGAGATATAAAACAATTTAAATTATAATTCTAGTAATGATGATGATAGTGGGTTTCATGGCACAAAAACCTTAAAGGTTATTAGTGCCGAAAAAATTTTTTAAAAGATTAAAATCAAGTAATTCTAGTAAAAATAGCTAACTAAATGCAAATCCATAATGATATGCATATGCTAGATATTCATGTATAGGCTATAATGTTCATGTATAGTTCAGGTTTTGATCAATGCACTTATATAATATTTCTCTTGAAATATATATATATAACATTTATGTTAGATCATTTGAAATCTCAAATCTAAAAAGTTTTTAATTCATATGATAAATCTGGGGGGGGGACTTCAGATCATTATGTACAGGATGCCACATGCTATTTTACATCAATCTTATTTACTTTTGAATAACACCTTGTGTTGAACATTGCAACACATATTCATATATTTTGAACACATTTTATCAGAAAACAAAATGAATACTATTTTAAAAATTTTAGAACATTTTACAAGTAATAAAAAATACATTTATGAAATTATATATACTTTTGTAATTTGGGACCAATTTGAGCAGAATGACTTGGAGGCCAAAGATATTTATTTTCCCATGTCAAACTCAGAAAATGTGATGCATCAATGGTACATCTGGCCAAAAAAGTGAGCATTCCCTGTAATACACTGGTGGGCCACATGGTAGTTAAGGTTTAAAATATACCATAGATTGTACATGAAAAGCCTTGCAAGTTCACTGGTAGGAGAAAGTTTAAAAGAGGGCAAGGCTTGTAAAAATTGCTCTTAAAATTGGGGAAAGCAAGCTAAAGCAGAAACAGGAACACTCATCAGATGTGAAACTTCAGGCAGTTTATATCAAAATAAAGATAAATTCAAAATGTTTCTGCTCAGTGAACAAAAATTTCACATGTTTGGATTCATGCATAATTTTTGTTAATCACATAGCATAAAATTTATTACTATTTTATTTTTATTTAGTGTAAATTTTAGTTAGTTATTTCTTAGATGTTGCTACTAAAATGTTATTTTGAAATTCAAATGTGCAGTGAAATGATGGGGGGGGAGGGAAAACAAATGATTAAAAACAACAGCTGCTTAAGTGCTGCCATTTAAAATGTAAATAGCTGACTAAAATGGGGATCACATACTGATTTGATTACCTGAATTTTCTGTTTTTATTATCGGAATTTTTTTTTTTTTTTTTTTTCCTATTCCATAATATATGCTTTGATATGTTGTTTGATGATATATTTAAATGGCCATTTAAACTTTGCATGAAGTGTAGTTATTACTATTATATAATATTCAAAATGAAAAAAATAAAATACAGAAAAATATAATTATGTTAGTTTTTACTTACAGAGCAATCACTCTTCAAATGATTAAAAACTAAAAAGGAAATACAGGATATGAAAAATGAGTAAACAAAATAAGGATTTAGTGCTATTACTAATACCGTAAATGTCACTCTTTTCAGTTATATAGGAATTATTTGAAATATAATAGTAGTTTACAGTAGCAGTAAATTCTATTTACAGTAGCCTTAAATTCTCTACATTTTGTATTTTGAAATATTGAGAATTATTGTTACAAGAAATCTGAAAACAGTGTAGCTTTTTATCTGCTTATATAAAGTAGCTGTCATCAAGAAAATGAAACCATTTAAAAAGAAGTGGTTTTAAATTTCTTAAAAGTGCCTTCAATATAACTTATTTAACATAATTATAAAAAGGAACAGATAGAATACTGATACATGATATTCCTATAGTTAAAAATGCTTGAGGATTCAGTATAAAAATTTTAAAATATTATTTTGCGGGTATTAATCTTTGAACTTCTTATTATTGTTCTAAAAGTTATAATAATTTAACCTGTACATACCAGTTTTATTGGACAAAGCATTGTTGTTATCAATAATAGTGAAAGATTTTGTTTGCTTTTTGTAATGTAAAATAAGAAATTTTAGGGTGTTTTACTAGAATAAAAAATTATTTTGATTAAAATATTTCTTATAAATTAATTTTGATAAAGGAAATAAAATATTGTCATTAAAAATAATATGTGTTTAGAGTAATTGTTAAATCTGACCTTATTTTCAAGCGATGCATAAAATTGTATTTTCTAATTTGCATTTATAATTTTTCTTTTAGTATCTTTAACAGAAGTTAGTTCTTAACTCTCTATTGAAAATAATTATGATTTTTTTTTCCAGTTTAATAAGCAAATTGAAGAAGAGAGAGGTACTCCATACATAGTTGCCCACTTTCATGAATGGCTAGCTGGTATTGGGCTCATACTTTGTCGAACACGACATCTAGATGTAGCCACTGTTTTCACAACACATGCAACATTATTGGGACGTTATTTATGTGCTGCAAATTTAGATTTTTATAATAATTTAGATAAGGTACTTGTAATATGCTTATATCATAATACATTTTGATTTTATAATATTTTTACAATAATAATTTTGACACCTTCCTAAAATAATTATTTACCTTGTTATAAGATTTTGTTGGTTGCCTACTGTCAAACTTTAGTGGTAGATTAGACAGATAGCCAGCCTGTGCTTTGCCTAAATTAAATAATCCATATGTAATCTTTTCTGTAAAATAGTGTCATAATACCTTTTCATATTATGCAAGTCTAAGTAATTTTAATGTCAATAATTGCTGAAGCTAATATACTATAAGCAGTTTCATTGTATCACATAATGGATAGCATAAATCTAAAGAATGAGGTTGTGAAAATTGATTACTTCATGTTACTTATGTATCAGCACAGTCGCCTTGGCACAGTTTACAGTGTACAGAAGGGGGGTTATGCATAATTAAAAAAAATTATTCATGTAGATACCTATGAAATCTATTTAGAAGCAGGTTTTTGTTTGTTCTGGTGAAAGTTTCATGACAATCACTTTAAAAGAACAGATTCAACCATTTGGTTTCCTCTAGTGATTTCATAACAAAATATATCCTTCCTGTAGAAATTTTACTGCAGTTTCTTCTTCTCAGGTAGAATCATAAGCACATATAATATTTTTCTTAAGATGAGCACTGACTAATTTGCCCAAGACTATCATATGATGTATTAATGTTACCATCAAAGTGTTTTGGTTCAAACTGAAGTATTTTGCATACAAAATAAATCTATGCAAAGTTAAACTCAAAATTTGTGCTGTAACAGCAATATTATTCTTTTATTGAAAATATAAATGAATAATTTCTGAATCATTAATTTTACCCTTTTTCAGCATAGCATAACCTCTCATATATATTTAATTCCATGGTATTACTTATATTAACACTTTGCCATTGTATGGCACCACATTGGTGTCATATGTAAAGCTTGCTAATAATGCTGTTGTCATGCATTACTGCAGTATGCAGAGTGGTGGACAAATGCTAGTGTTACCATATTAGTGTTGTACACAGGGTGACAGGCAAAATTCAGTGTTACAGAGTGGTGTCAGGTGTGAAGAGATGGACAAAGGGCAGCATTATCAAGCTGGTGTATTGCATGAAGCTGGTTGCAAGCTGTTTGTATATCATATTTTTTAGTTTCTAAATTTCAATAAATAATAAAATAAATGAAAAATTATGAAAAGGGGAAAAATGCATTTCCAAGGTGCATTGAAGACAGATTCATTGTTCTGCTTAAATTTATTGATTTTTGAAGAAAAAGAGAAATATTTGATATCTTTAGATGAAGGTTAAGTGATGTAGAACTTTTCACAGACTCCTTCACTGTACATTTGGGAAGAAAGTGATGAAACCTGCCAGGTTGTTGACTAGCCACAAAACATGTCATTTATACTGATTTGTTGTTTTCTCATTGCAATACAAGTCTTTGCTTTTAGATTATGGAATTTTCAAATCAATGAATTTTTAACATCACTGTGGTTTAATGATTGTAATGAATAGCATGTTATGGTTCAATAGAATATATAAATGAATTAAGAAAATTTCTTTGGTGAATGTTATTGAATACATGAGAGATCCACAGAACAGTTTGTAAAGCATAATGACAAAATATTTGAAGATACATGGTGCTAATTGCTGCTTGCATAAAAATATATGTAATAAATTTTATCCTGCTTGAAAATGAAATCATGGAACAAAATCAACAGGTATCATTACTAACACAAACTTGAAAAGCAGGCAGATGTCAGTGCTTCTGCCTTTGAGAAAGAAATTCTGATTGAATAAACAGCAAAAATTGTAGCAAGTCTTCACAATGATTGTGTGATTCACAATGACAATTTTGATTTAGTTAGATTCATAATCTAATAAGAAGTTTCTTTTACTTTAAGAACTTCAAACTGTTTTAGAAAAAGGATCAATCAAAAGAAAAAAGTACAGATTTCATTACATGAATGAATATAATAGCAAACTGTTTTTGCATGTACTAAAGTTTTAATCTAATACATTTAAATGTTTATTTTCATTATTTATTTTCCATAAGTTAAAATACTATTAATTTACTGTACAGGGTGGTCATAAAAAAACTTCCCAGATATATGAACCCTTAGTGACTTATTCAGTCATACACTTGAAATGAAATTTCAGGTATTATCTGAAGGTAAGCACTCAAGAATAGAATAATTTAAAATAATAGAGCAGTTGTGAAAAAATTTCAAAAATTTTGAGTGGCAATACCATTTTCCTGTGCAGATTAATCATTGCAATGAAAAACCATAAATGACATTGGAATGATATATGTATGATGAAAATTGTTGGCATGAACCTATTGCAAAGAAGAGATCATCATCATACCTTATCAGATATTTTTAACTACACTAACTGTGACTATGGAAGCAAATATAGATGTGCCATTCAGATCGATTTATTGATGATAACACGGATGGAACATGAATCGTAGTAGGGATGTTTCCTGTTCTTACTTTTTCCCTGTTTATATCACTGTGTTCAGAGAGCATAGTTTTAAGGAGGCAGAAAATTATTATTGAAGAGCCATTGCAATATGACCAACCTGGTTCTAAGAAAAAAAAAAAAAAAAAAACACAGAAAAAATGCTCAGAGAATAATGCTCACAGGTATAAATGTTCACAGGAAAAAAGCCCACACAGAAATATGCCCACATAGAAAAAAGCTCACATGGAAAAATGCTCACTTAGAAATATGCTCACACAGAAAAAAGCTCACAGGGAAATAAGCACACTGATAAATAAAATACATAAACATATCCTTACATTTATCAATCTTGAACATCGTACATATACTTGAATTGTTTAAAGAAAAATTATTTGATCATTTGAAAAAAATATTGGACAAATGCTCACATAAACAATAAAAGAATGAAAACTATAGTAAAATTTTGCATGTACTATAATATTTTATACTACTTGCCCCTGTACGACATGTTTACTCCTTTAACTGCCAACAGTTAATTTTTGTTTGTTTACTCTATTTTTGCATACTTTTGATGTGTATCTATAGAAATTGGTGTTTGAATGTAGTTATTTAAGTTTGAAGCTAAAAATGATCTAGAAGACCACAGTTTCCAATCGAAGTGTGGAATCATTATGATGCAGCCTTCGAAAAATCTCCTAAAACCAAAAATTGTAACGAAAGCTTTCATAAGGTACTAAATTCATTATTTAATTGTATCCATCCCAGTATGTGGTTTTTATTTGGCGGACTCATAAAAGATTTAGCCTGTCAATGTTTATTATTAGCTATTGTAAATACATGACGTAATGAAATTTAAAAAAAAAAGAAAAAAAGAAAGAAAATATGAAAACTTACATTTGCTAATCGGGAATCATGTAAAAAACTATTATGAAGTAGATGATAAATTAAATATTACATATATTAGCTAATATTCAGCACATTTATGTATTCATACTTTTTTAAATATATATTTGTGATTTATATATAGTAAGGTACTTTACGTACTTTAAATAAAATAATTAATTATGTTTGCTTATTCTTATAAATGCTTATATATAATAAGGTACTTTACGTAATTTAAATAAAATATTTATTTATGTTTGCTTATTCTTCCTAATGTTTATATTATAAAATGTGTAACTTATATTTACTATTATTTTAACAATTAAAATTGTAATAATTTTTCACTGTATATTCTGTTTCATTTTTCTTCCTTGTTTCTCTCCTTTTCCTAATTCAAAACTGCCCATTTGTTAATCTTATATAGCAACTGACAACTGAATCTACACATAAGTGTTACAGTTGTATATATATATATATATTAGATGTTTTGGTAATTTAAATATTGTTTTTTTCACGTAGATGTATGATATTCAAATCGATTAATTATTGATTGATTAATCTAAGGATATTTCTACGTTTTTTATTTATCAGTGGGCTTATTTCCATGTGAGCATATATCTATGTGAGCATTTTCCTGTGTGGGCTTTTCCTGAAAGCATTATTCTGTGGCCATTTTTCCAGTCACTGACCACCCTCCATCTATAACAATGGGCTCACCTAGGAATAAAACCACTGTGCATGCGAGGCTGATGTTGGAGTATATTAGTAGTTGGAAAAATTGTAACGAAAGCTAATTGTAACTAAACCAAAAATTGTAACGAAAGCTTTCATAAGGTACTAAATTCATTATTTAATTGTATCCATCCCAGTATGTGGTTTTTATTTGGCGGACTCATAAAAGATTTAGCCTGTCAATGTTTATTATTAGCTATTGTAAATACATGACGTAATGAAATTTAAAAAAAAAAAAAAAGAAAGAAAATATGAAAACTTACATTTGCTAATCGGGAATCATGTAAAAAAACTATTATGAAGTAGATGATAAATTAAATATTAATATATTAGCTAATATTCAGCACATTTATGTATTCATACTTTTTTTAAATATATTTGTGATTATTTATAATAAGGTACTTTACATACTTTAAATAAAATAATTAATTATGTTTGCTTATTCTTATAAATGCTTATATATAATAAGGTACTTTACGTAATTTAAATAAAATATCTATTTATGTTTGCTTATTCTTCCTAATGTTTATATTATAAAATGTGTAACTTATTATTTTAACAATTAAAATTGTAATAATTTTTCACTGTATATTCTGTTTCATTTTTCTTCCTTCTTTCTCTCCTTTTCCTAATTCAAACCTGCCCATTTGTTAATCTTATATAGCAACTGACAACTGAATCTACACATAAGTGTTACAGTTGTATATATATATATATGGTAGAGGTTTTGGTAATTTAAATATTGTTTCTTTCACGTAGATGTACGATATTCAAATCGATTAATTATTGATTGATTAATCTAAGGATATTTCTACGTTTTTTATTTATCAGTGGGCTTATTTCCGTGTGAGCATATATCTATGTGAGCATTTTTCTGTGTGGGCTTTTCCTGAAAGCATTATTCTGTGGGCATTTTTCC